AGATTTTATGAGAATGAGATCTTGCTTCTTTTAGATCTGTTTATTGTTTGGTTGTTTTTCTCATTTTCTGATTGTGATTTGTCTGCATAAACAACCAATGTCGACTGCCTGATTTTTCTTTTTTCTTTTTTTTTGTCTTTTATTCCTTAAAAATATATTTATCGACTGCCTGATTGTGTTTTAATGTCAGATCGGATTCCAGCATCATTCAGCAGTTTAGACTCTACTCTCAAGGTCCAGATCTCACCTCCAATCTCTGTTAGGTAACTCCATTAAACACTTCTAATTCCGTTTGTTCTTTTAAGGGCTTAGGTTGTGCAATTGGAGGATTTTTTTTTTTTTAGTTTAATTTATTTGCTTCTTTTTTTGTTTAGTTGAGGTGTTAAATGTAGGGTTTTTGCCTTAAAAAAAAAAGGGAAGCCAAAGTCTGTTTCTATTTTCCTTTAATTTTTCATTAAGTCTCTCTGGATTGAAGTGCTTAGGGAACTGTGTGGCTAGGACGGGTCAACCAGATCTGATTCTGCTGGGCCGCCCCTGTCCCGTTGCTCACTTTATGATATTTTACATTTTCCTGATGTTGCTTCTTGCTTCTGATGTTTGCTTTTCCATATCATCTTTACGGTGTTATTTAGATTTGCTATGATGATTGTATTGAATGGACAAAATTAAGTCAGTGAGGTTCATCTGTGCTGGGTACTGATTGGTTCTGCTTTGAGGATGGCATATTCGATCTAGAACTAGGATTTAAGCTGTTAGTATTCTTTTTCATTTGTTTAATTTGTACTGTTTTCTACGTGTTGTTGAACCTGTCTCCATGCCTCACTCCTATATTTTTAGTTGTGCTATTTCTGATTTGGTTAGGCTCTTTGTTTAGGAGTTTGCTGCTATTTTGTCCATCAGCATTAAATGTTTATCCATTTTTCTTTGCTTCGATGAGTATTGGTCTTGCTTGAGTCTTCCCTGTTGTCCTCCTAGATTTGTTTACCTACTATTAGCTTAAAAAAAGAGTTGCTGAAATGAAGTATTTGAGTTGCTATTCAGAAAATAGTACTAAGACTCGGTTTTGAGTTGTTTGTTTGATAGTTCAGTAGAAACCTTGATAAAAATGCAAAAATAGCTGATAATTAATAAAATAATTGATATTTATTATATAGCAGATTAAAATCAATAAATGTAAGAACCCTATTTTCAACCAGAAAATATAAAAAAAATATACAAGAATAAAAATGAATGAAGATAAATAAAATGCAAATTTTGGTTTTTTTTTTTTTTTTTTTTTTGTACAAGATATTCAAATCATTATAATAGAAATTTGAAGATCAAAATTGAAGGAATTTGGAAGTTGGAGGGTTTGATGATAATGAAAAAGTACTTGATAGAAAGAAATTAAAGTTGGAGGCAAAATGTGTGAAGAAATGGGCTTAATAGCAAGACATTAAAGTTTGGAGTCCGGTGTGCGAAGAAGTGGAGGACTTAATAGCAAAGGAGCTAGGCTGCATGTTCAATTTGATAGAATTAGAGAGACTTAATGATGCAAAAGGAAACATGTTAAAAACGAAAAATGATGAAAATGAAAAGGTTTTCCTAACATGCTTAAGGTGCAATTTATTACACTTGTTATTAATTTTTATGAAAAATTATAAAAATGAATCTTATTTTTAACAAATAAATCATATAAAATAATTTAATTGTATATTTTTTATTTTTGAATTTTTTGAATTTTTGAATTGGGTAAGAGAAGGTAATTCTCTTTGAGCCCTTAATCTATCTCACGTCCATGTGGCTTATACTTGAAATCTCTCACTTCCACTTTAATGTAAGCTAAGTTGTTAGGTAATTGTACAATTGATAAAATTTAAGTCATTTTTTTTTATGAAAATTAATTAAAAAAAAAAAGAAAAAAATTAAAACATCTTGACATTAAAAAAATGATAAATTTAATAAAATTGAGATATACATTATACTCTACGCATTTAATAATTTATGATTGAATGTCCTAACAAATTTAATATGAAGATGTTAAAAATGTAAACTTATCTTGTGCATTTAAAAAATTCCATAGAAAAATTCTTAGTTTAAATTACAACCTTTTGGCTCATAACAAATCTAACAGTGGATATACTGATCCGCGCTGTGTGCTACTGTTTGACTTAATCCAACAGTAGAATTGAGAGTTGAGTGGCAATGCATGCCTAATTTACTTGAACTGTTGGATCGATTGGATCAATATTAATCAAGGATCAGGATTAATCCAAAACTAACACAAATTTAAAGGAAAAAAGGAAAGAAAAATGGGAAAGACTTTTAGTTTCCTCCAAATGAACTCCTACCCCTTAGACCTCTAGATCTTTGGCAATTTTCTTCTTTTTCCTCGCTCAGATTATTGGCTTTCATTTCTGCAGACTGATTATCTTTGGCTTTTATTTCTGCAGGTTTGTTTTCAATTATTGTAATTATATATTTTAAATTTTTATTAAGTTTTCATCAATTAGGACTTTTTTTTCGTTGTAGTATGTTCATCGCTCATAGCTATTATTAGTAGTAATAATGAAGTAAAGTTATATTTTGATGATAATCTGTTGTTTTATTTCGTACAAAGATTTGAGACGCTTGGAGATTCTTTAAAACTCTTTAATCAAATTTAGAGTTATAAATCTTGTCAAGTTCTCTTTTTAAAATTTGCTTTATGTTTTTTAAGTTGAAGATAATAGTGAATACTATTTGACTTATAAAGTATTTGGAAAACCATTTTTGTTTTTTGTGGATAGAGAAGGTGTTTAGTTGCGTACTTGCAAAGTTATTACAGTAAAATTTGTTGAAAAGTCTATGATGGAAAACCAATATCTATTAGGAGAAAATCAATGTCTCTTGAAAAAAAAAAAAGAAAAAACTTTTGTACATTTCAGAATTTTATAGTTTTTTTATAAAGGTATTAGAACCTCTCAAGTAGTGTATGAATGACTATGAGGTCACTTATAACTTGGAAAGTATTTATGTCTCCAAAATGAACGTCTTTTCATTTTGACAATTTACAAAAAGGTACTTTATAATTTATTCTACTATTGACTTTAATTCAATTAGTATCAAGTAAGTTAGTCTTTATTAATATGTTGGTATTATTTCGTCTTCTAGTTAAAGATGATGAACAAAAGAAATATTCACATAGGTTTGAAAATCTTATTAGTTTTTTGAAGACAGTCAATCAAAAGCCAAGATTAAGCAATTTACAACATTAGACTTTGAATTTGAGTATTTTTATCACACCATAACTCACTTCCCAATATTTTCTTTGTAAAATATGAAGAACAATTAAAATTTGATTCACTTGAATTAACAATACTTACACTTACCAAAACCAACAAGCTGAATGCATTTATAAAAGTATTCAAATTCAAAGTCTAATGTTGTAAATTGCTTAATTTTGGCCTTTTGATTGATTGTCTTCAAAAAGCTGATAAGCTTTTCACACCTATGTGAATATTTCTTTTGTTCATCATCTTTAACTAGAAGCAAAAAATAATATTAACATATTAATAAACGCTAAGTTACTTGGTAATAATTGAATTAAAGTCAATATTATAATAAATTATAAAGTAATTTTTTGTAAATTGTCAAAATGAAAAGACCAATCTCTTGTGTGTTCATTTTTGGAGGCATAAATACTTTGTAAGTTATAAGTGACCTCATAGTCATCCATACACTACTTGAGGACTTATTTAGTACCTTTATAAAAAAAAATTATAAAAATAAAAAATGTACAAAAGTTCATTTTTTCTGTCAGGAGATATTGATTTTCTCCTAATAAATATTGGTTTTTTATCATCAGGTTTTTCAACAAGTTTTACTATAATAACTTTGCAAGTAAAACAAAAGGGGTTTTCCAAATACTTTATAAGCCTAATAGTATTCATTACTATTTTCAACTTCAAAAACAGAAAGCAAATTTAGAAAGAGAACTTGACGAGATTTATAACTCTGAATGTGATTAAAGATTTCTAAACTATCTCCAAGAGTCTCAAATCTTTGTACGAAATAAGACAACAGATTACCATCAAAATATAGCTTTACTTCATTATTACTACTAATAGCAGCTGTGAGTGATGACATACTGCAACAAAAGAAAATGGTCCCAATTGATGAAAATTTAATAAAAATTTAAAATTCATATTAGTTATGGAATGTTAACGAGTATTGATGCAGCAATCACTGGCATAAACGCCTCCTCCATTGATGTAACTCCAGGTGATTCCTATTAGTTCACAAATGTTTTGTATAGGAGTTCTAATGATCTAAGGTTCTAGATAGCTATTGGCCATACATGCTTTCTAGAATACAGTTTAAACATATAAAAGATTTCTTTTCCTTGTTTCATTTTGCATTTCTTCCAACTTGTTTGTGGTTGATTTCTGTTAATGCTGCTTGCTCTTTGTCAACTAATTAATAATGGAAACCTTCTGAAGTTATTTTGTTTTTTGAATCCAGCCTGCTTTTATTGCTGGGCAGTCAAACATTGACAGTTACTATTGCAGATGATGCAGTAATCTCAGCTTTCAGCCTTTAAGGTCAGTTTGCAATATGATGTGCAGCTCATTTCATGATTGATTTTGTCTATATGGTTGCAACTTTTGGTCTTGTGGGAGAAAATAGGTGCTATTTCTATGCCTTTGGTATTAGTCAGGGTTGAGTAAAACCATGTCCATGATTTGCTACCCTTCATATGTTTGATGTATTATCCTTTATGTAGAAGTCAAAACGAATTTTCTATTCTACACTGCAGGGTACATAAACCTTTTTTTGAACACATCAAATGCAGGTTTGGAAGATGAGAACCAGACCGACTGGCAGATGTGATTACATTATTCTCTCCCCAATAAGAGAAATTAAGAAAGTTGTACTAATCAAATAATATTTTGTTTCCATCCCCTCTCTGATGATGTGGAGTATGCTTCAATGATGGTTTATTGGGTTGTGTGTTGAAGCAGGAGTCACCGGCATAATGCTTCTCCGGTACATTAGGGAATTCCGGGTGATTCCGTAGGCCTAATCTTTAATTTGTATTCTGATTGGAGATAGACGTTCACATACTCAATTCAATTTCTCTTATATATAATGCCTTGTATTTTCGTTTTGGTTCTAATCAAAATACTCAATTTTGTTTTTTTCTTTAGAAAATCTATCGCCCACTGGAATTATTTACTCGATTGCCCTCCTAACTCGTGAGTCCTTTATGAGATTTCAGTAACTAGTTTCTTGTATTAGTGGCCTGTTGTGTTCTTTACGTAATGGAGTATCTCTTTTAACCAACACAATTTATTTTCATTATCACGGGATGCTTTAAATATTATGTATTTATATTGTAAATGAGGATACGGCGACATTAAAAATATTAGAATATCTAAGTTAAAAAGTATTAGAATATTTAGTTATAATTATAAGATAAGTGAGACAATAAATTTTACTTAAATCTTATATTATATCTTAATTTATATATCATGTGATTAAAATTAAATGTCTTAATATCAAATTATTTCGATTTTTACTTTTTTTGATTATAAATAAATGTGATTGAATTTTTCTTTTCTTTTATAACGGTCGATTACAACTATTTCTATGCCTTCTGAGTCTATTTAGGTTTAGAAGTAATTTTGGTACCCTGCAATGTGTTTGGGGTCTTATGCTTTATATGGAGTTGGCAGATGCAACCAGTCTTGCATTCTACACAGCCACAGCTGGCGGCCGAATAGCCGATCTCATTTCTTTTGAACATAATGAATGCAGACTTGACAGATGAGCACTGGACCGTGTCCTCTTTACCATTCACCGTGCCAAGGGCAGCATATTACTAGGACCTACATACTGGTGATTTCAATTCACAATGAACTTGTGGGTCACATTCTACATTCCTCAAGGGACCATGTTTCATACTTTTTCAAATCATTTTTACATTAATC